TAAATATCGAAATTAGAAGAGAAGTACACTATTTTTAATTAAAAATTTTCGATATTCTGAAAAAGAAATTTTATTTTACCCCTTCAGATTTTGTTTCATCAGAAATGGTTTCATACACGCGTTTTATGAATAATTTAGGATAAATAATCAGATATCAGTGTTATATTATTGAGTAGTATATTTTATTTAAAATGATGCACAAAATAAACATGTTTTATAACGAGTCTACATATGATATGGCTTTTTGTACAGATATTGGTCCGAACGTACTAGGTACGTTCTTGTTAGAGCGCACGTTGGGAAAAGTTACGACGCGGGGACCAATAAGACTGTTTCCTCGAGGGTTGCTACCGGGAACCAGATGGTTCATTGCAAATCGTAAACCCACGATGGACCAATGAGAACCCGTATACTCGTACCCCAGCTAAAAGTCTCACCCTCGTCTTTCGAACTCTGCTCGTTTCGCGGGTAATGGCGAACATCTCGCAGCTGATATACTCGAACGACTTTCATCAAATGTTAACTTATCTTAGATTAATCTCGTAAAAAAAAACGGTCGCCCGACGAGGGTTCGTTACATACGGAATAAAAAACTTAACGTTTCTTTGAACGAAGTTGAAGAAGGAGAACCAGGACACGATTTCAAAAGTTTATTACACGGAAAAAGAGCGATAAGTGTATATCTAAAAATGTATAACTCCGAAAATGTATCATTGTACATCCAGGAACAATGTCATTTTGTAATAATTGTTATTTAAAATTATCCATTCACTCTTTTTTACTTTTACTCCTACTCTGTGTTATCTTCTCGCTGTTTTTTATTCATTTGGGGTTCGTTTCGTTTTGTGGTTGCCTCAATTTCCATTTATTTTTTCAGAATTCCGTAAAGAGCCTTTTCACATTATCTCGGATATCGCGGTCCGGGTTTCGTATCGTAGAAAATGCCAGCAATACACAAATTCCCGTCGAGACATTCCGCTCTTTCCGTCGGAAATGCTACCTTCTTGGTTCGACTCGGATTGCCTTGTTTTGGCTCGAATAGCAAAAATATTAGACTTTCGTGACTGGGCATATTCTCGAATTTATGGCTCACCCTCGTGCTTCGTAATAAAAAAATCAATTCGAAACGGTGCGCTGACGATGTGAGACGAGGCGAACGATGCAAGTACACTCTTGCGCTCGCCTGATATCGGCATTAGAAATCTTTTGATTGCCAATATTTCGGTTCGATGAAAAAATGACGAAAGTAGCTTCCATTCCTATTTCAAAATTGCGTTACACCCCCTGGGCTAAGCAATCTTTAATCGAATGGCCTTTGCTTAATACGATATCTCAAAGAGAGGTGCAATGTTTCAGTACCCGGTAACTTACACCCTTTTAGAGTTCTCGTTACGCATAATCGAATCAATGATTAATCATATTGTTTTTTAAAAGTCGGATGCCTTCGTATAGATTCCATGCGGCTCGCTCGCCTTGCCAGTTTCTCTCTACCGCTGGTAGGGGTCGGTTCACTGTAGATGAGAAGTTGATTCGTTGGATGGAATTATATTAAACGAAAAATGTTACTCTCGCGCGGTGCATCGATTTTGAGAAATGTTTCACGTCTCGGTCAAAAGAGCCACGTAGGAATAAATGTAACACAAACCCGTAATAAGTACGTATACATGTACGTTACATAACCTTATAGAAGAAGAGGTTAACCTGCTCAATATTTTATTAGATGGTATTATCGTTCCCTTCCGCCGCACGACAAAACATGGCTAGTGATAACTGAATGCGCAGGAGGGGTGATGTGGTGGTGGATTCTGTGGAACTTGTTCCACGAGCATGAACATCTTACTGTAAGTAACACAATGTCTTATGCTTAATACAGATATTAGTATAAATCACACTTAAATACTTTTGTTTTATTCATCAGGGCCACTTCCCTTATCCACGTCCAGCAGACTGGACAGATGAAGAATTGGGAATTCCGCCAGAGTAATAGGTAGACTTTTTGTATAAATATTTTATTATATTTAATTAAAATCTACGATCGCGTATCATAACTTGGATACATCAGTGAATCGTTAGCTTATATGTAGCTTATTGTTCTAATAAAGGTATCATTTTAATTGTACAGTTACAAAACTGATTGTTCATCCATCATATTACTTTATTAATGTTACATAAGTGAAAGATTCTAAAACAAAAATTGTAGAAACTTGTATGAACCGGACAATTGAGCATGTCGCTCTTAACAACGCGATGGCACTTTGATAGATATCGTTTTAGTCTCGAGATACTCCTTCAACCCCTCCGCACCCCTGAAACGCAAAAATAGAAATTTCATATTTTCTCACTACGTACTTTTCCCAATCGTATAATAACGGACTTACAATTCTCGTCCTATCCCCGACTGTTTGAAACCGCCGAATGGAGTTTGAGGCGTAATGGCGTCGTAACAATTTACCCTATTAAATTATGTAAATGATTATCGGACTGTCCATCAAGTACAGAAAATAATGTATCTTACCAAACGCTCCCAGCTTGCACCGCTTGCGCAAATGTCAAAGCTTTATCAATGTCTTTGCTGAGTACACCAGCGGCGAGACCGTAGTTTGTATTGTTCGCTCGTTCGATCACTTCGTCCATCGTCTCGAATTTCAAAATGCATTGAACAGGCCCAAATATTTCCTCTGTTGCGATTTTCATGTTATCGGTCACGTTCGAGAAGACAGTAGGCTTAATGAAATACCCGACGTTGCCCTGACGTTCCCCTCCCGTTTGCAACACGGCACCTTGCTCTTTCCCTGATTTAATAAAACTTAAGACCTTATCCAACATGTCTTGATCGATCTGCGGGCCCTGTTCAGTTCCGGGATTGAACGGATCGCCCACTTTCGTCTTCTGTGCCAAATCCTTTGCGTGCGATACGAACTGATCGTAAATCTTAGCGTGTACGAAGGTACGGGAACCGGCGCAACAGTTTTGTCCGTGATTCGCGAATATCGCGCCGTAAGCAATCTCGGCCGCTTCCTTGACTAGAAATTGATCGTAAGTTTTAACTCTGTGCTCACAGAACATATTAATATTATATCAAGTGATTAATGTACCGTCAACATCGTCGAAAACGACTAAAGGACTCTTGCCACCTAATTCAAGACTGACACGTTTAAGATTACTCTTAGCAGCGGACTCCATGATTAACCGACCAACCTACGAAAATAATGAATGAAGAATACTATAAAAAATATCATCAGCTAGCTTTTACCTCGGTTGATCCGGTAAACGCGACTTTCCGGATGTCCGGATGTTCGGTTATAGCTGCCCCAGCCGTGGGACCGTACCCTGTTACAACGTTCACGACGCCAGGAGGGAATCCAGCCTCCTTAGCGAGTGCCGCCGCGTAAAGCGCAGTTAACGGAGTTTGCTCGGCTGGTTTTAAAACAATGGTGCATCCAGTGGCCAAAGCTGGACCCCATTTCCAGGCCAGCATGAGGAAAGGATAGTTCCAAGGGATAATCTGTCCCACCACTCCGACTGGTTCCTTACGCGTTAGCGAGACATAATTTCCGTCTGCAACGAGTGTTATCGTCGTAACTCCTTGAGAAATCAACTGTTCGTAAAGTTAAATGTACCTGCTGGGATAGTGTCTCCAAAAATTTTGTCGCACCATCCGGCATAATAGCGAATCGTATCTATACTCGCTTCTATGTCGAAAACTGCATTCGAGTAGGCTTTTCCATTGTCTAACGTTTCAAGGGTGGCGATATACTCCAAGTCCCGCGCGATCAAATCCGCGAACTGTGATTAACGTAGAAATACATGAAGGAAACACTTGTTTAAAACTAGTGTAATGAACGACATACTTTATTCATGAGTTTCCCGCGAGCGGACGCATCCAGATTACGCCATTTGGAACCTCTGGCGAACGCTTGTTTCGCAGCTGCAACTGCTTTCTCCACATCTGCCTACGTAAGAAAAAATATATCAAATAATTACGAAGTATAGAACTTGTACGATATATGTATGAAATAAACCATCGTACCTTGTCGCCCTCGGAGATCTCTGCGATCACTGTGCCATCAGCTGGATTTATAGTAGGAAATTTTTTACCGCTTACAGAATCCACGAATTCATTATTGATGAACAACTGGAACAATAAATACGTATAACATCGTTTATAAAATTAAATTACAATAAAATGAATTGCACAAAAATTTACCTGAGTATATTTAATGTCTGGGACCTTACGTGTCATCTTGAATGATGTACGTACTCGACGCTGCACTCAGAGCAAATGCTTAAATTTAATCGGCAACAGGGCATTAAATATACTTTGGTCCCGTGATAACAGATAACACCAATAATGCGTTTGTTTTTGCAAGATGTTATTTCTGGACCGAAGAATATTCCAGCCTCCTGTCAAAGCCGATTAATTGAATATTTTATGCTATAAACCACGAACCGCTCAATAATAACGGGCAAATTGTACTTTGTTAAAAATCGAACACGTGGCTATTCTTTATCTGACGTGTGCTAATCTTTTTATCTGTAAAAATATGTAATAAATATAAAATTTTTCGATAAGAATTTGCCGTAAGCCAACTTGATAAAGGAGGTTACACTAGTTCTAAATATGATACAGAATTCTTATCTCATGCAGCCAACTACAATGTAAACATAAAAATAGTTATTCGACTGTATAATGTTTTCAACATGCTAAATCATTCTCAGGAGACATTTATGAATGAGATAATTCGTTGCTGGGAATTGTTAAATCGATAATAGTATTCTTCCCCGTTGAAGGGACAGCAACCCTAAAATCATCTGTGTCAAAAAATTCATTTCAGTATAGTTGTAAGGTGTATAGAATTTTTCAAAGTATTATAAAAAAATCTGAGTTTCGTATCGGAGAAAAGATTCACCGCGAATATGGATAACGTTGCTGAAAAGGAGGAAGGCAAGGGGGAGGTATTTGAATCGACTAAACTTCTGCATCTAAGATTTATTAAATTACGAGCTTTCATTTTACATCTTTTTGATGAAACGTAGCCCTGTCCAAGGGTGGATACTACCGTAAGAGGCGAGCAGCCGCCCGCGTTTTTTCCTCAACCGGGAGATGAACTTCCGACGCAACCGGAAAAATCCATGGACCCGATCGGTCCATGGGCAACCGGTCGTGTTACGTATACTCCTCAAGGTGGTTTGACAGGCGTTAGACCAGTCGTTGACCGATACTCCGTGACCAATTCTGGTGGAGCTCAATGGAGAGCTCATAATAAAATGTTCTTCGACGAATCGAACGAAAATATTCAAGTAGCTCAGTAGGCAAACGAATCCGTCATTATTTTACTTTCAGCTTCCTGATGAGGTGAATGATAACGATAACGTCAATTTTAGACTTGCTATTAGCAACGCAAAACGGTGCATCGAGCGAACTTACCGCGAGGCGGACAAGACGCAATTAGAATCGACGGAGCATTTAAAAAATCGAGCGAACGAGGTGTACCGTTGGAAAACTGAATTAGAGCATTTAATAAGTAACATTACTAGAGAAATAGAATTGTTGGAAGCCGAACGTAGACACGTAAAACATTCTTTGTCGGTTCTCACGGTCCCGGAGTCGATCGCCGGCGATTTTTTGCAACTGCGATCGAAACGGCTAGAGTCCGATCTTATTCGAGACGAAGTTGAAGAAGAACTTACTAAAGTCAGTATTACTTGACATCATATCAAAGATACACATCTGTTATGGTATGTGTATTAATTATTATAGGAAGTTGCTCTGTGCTCGGAGGTACGCGATTTATTTAACAGAACTCGGGAACAAATAGAATTACAGCTAACTGAACTGAAGTCTGCGAAAGCAAGGATGGAAGTGGACTGGACCGATAAAGTCGATGCTTATAATATTGACTCCCATTGCATAAAATTAAAAAATGATTCTCCCATTATAATGTGGAAACCTGGAGCTACGAGATTTCCAGCGGAGTATGAACATTGACTCCTTTCTAGTTTAATGTATATGATTAATTCCCGCTTCTTTTAATTAGACAATCGACGCCTTCGAGTTACGAACATTACACTCGTGAAAGTTTAACCGACGGGGAAGCAGCCAAGCAGAGATCCGAAAATTTGAGGTCCACTTTAGATTCTATATATAAGAACTCTATTAAAGATCTCCGGGATCAAGCAACCAGAGTAGATATCGTTCTAAGCAAAAAAATTCGACTCACGGAAGATGTTCGTCTACAATTAGAGAAAGAATTGCTTCGTGTAAGTTTAATATGGGCAATTTATAAAACAAGATATTCTTAAGAAAACAATTCCTTCAGTGTTTATACGAGCTTGCCAATGCGGAAAAATCAATCGAAGAGCTTCGTCATTCGACAAGGGGACTGGATTGCGCAATGAAAGTGGCACAAACACGGTTAGCAGATAGACTCGAGCACAGACGTAACGTGGAAAGTTGTCGCGACACCCCTCAGTTCGCGTGAGTTATCTAATCGCGCAACCAATTCGTTATGCATAACACATGTTCATCTCGATTTGTTTCGTTTAGCCTGATGGAGGAAGTGAAGTTCCTGAATGAACGTACGTCGGCTGTCTTGGCCGAATTAAAAAGGGCGGAGGAAACTCAGTCTGGTTTGATAAAGGCCAGGAGCGATCTTGAACACGAGATAATCGTGAAACGTAAAACTCTGTACATAGACAAACAACGCGGGAAATTGTTGCGTTCGTTTTATCCCGCGACTATTTGAACGGTTTTACGAAGTATAAACGCACAGTTTCGTAGATACGCTTTGGAAGTATACGATTTATTCACGCAAAAATATAAAGTTTTGTAAGAGATTTTTGTTTTGAAAAATATATGTATACGGCCTGGATACACTGGGGTTTGTTACGTATAATTATGAATTAAGTTGTTACATGTTAATATCTAGATTTAAGTAATCGCTATTACTTGTAAATTGTGGAAAAAACGTGATCATAGTTCGTCGTGCGGTTGCACGTGATTCATCACAAATTCGTAGAGATCGTCCAGAATAGGAGCACCAATGTATTCAGAAACTTTGACACCGTCGCGATATAAATACAAAGTTGGAAAACCATCTACTTCTTGTTCGTTGCACAGCTCTTTGCTCACGTCTAAAGTACAATCTACTTTGATTATCTTCACGTTATCGTCCGTCACGAACTTTTTCCCAAGATCTTTCCAGATCTGCGCCAAACGCTTGCAATGACCGCACCAAGGCGCGAAGAACTTGACGAACGAAACGCCTTTCTCGATTCCGTGTTTAAAACTTTCACCTGTCAAACTTAGCACTGCGTGCGCCGTACTATCCGAATTATCAGTCTTGACTTGGTCTTCTCCTTTGTCGAGCATCTTCGAAACGTAAGCTTTCAATTCTTCGTGAGTACGTTGCCCGGTGTATTTGTCCACCTTCTTCCCGTCCTCGATCCAAAGCATCGTTGGAAACCCCTCTATTTCGAATTTTTCGCAAACAATAGGATGCGAAATGCAATCGACACGAGAAATGCTAACGTGATTATTATTGCGCAAACTATTGGCTAATTCCTCCCAGACAGGAGCTAATTTTTTGCAGAAACCGCACCAAGGTGCATAGAAATTTATAAAATGGTAGCCAGTAAATACATGTTTATAAAAAGTGTCTGTCGTTAACTCTAATAAACTGTTCACTGCTCCAGGCGGCAGTGATGCGACGTCCCCACTCTGATAAAAAAATAATAATTAGTATACCGAGTTGAATTGTTTAATATGCGTACTCTTCATACATACCCCAAATGCTGTGCCCAGTTGATCACTAAGAAAAGAAATGAGGGATGACAAATCGTTTCGACCTCTGTACTTTGTGCCTTTGGCTTCCCCAGCTTTAAAAAATTTCAGCCTGCAAATAAAAGGACTCTCAGGCCTATTCATTGAACAGAAGTTTTCGAATTTCTAGCATTTGTACATACGTAGGATAGCCAGTGACATCGTGTTCTGTGCATAAACTATGGTCCGTGGTACAATCCACTTTAGCAATTTTTATGTTATCTTCTTGGTTAGACATTTCAGCTAATTGTTCCCAGGTAGGTTCCAGTCTTTGACAGTGACCACACCTGTGAAAAATGTCTTCTTCTCTATTACAATACTTAAATCATTTAATATGAAATGTACGAATTACGTACCAAGGAGCATGAAACATGACGAAATGATTCTTCTTTTGTATCTCTGCTGAAAAATCATCTTTCGTGTACTCCGTGGCATGTTTATGTACATGATCGTTCTCCTCGCTATTAACTTGACTCAGCATAAATGCAAATAACAAAACGTATTTCTTCAACATGATACAATTCACAAAGCTTGCCATCGTGTCGATCAATAAGTAATGTATCACAAGATATTTAAAAAAAACAAATACCGTGTATCACTCACTGACCGAGAATAATAATATTTAACAAATGTTCAGCACAGCATATTATTGAATAATTACTTTAAGTTGTACTGAGTTTGTTACACTGTACTTTCAGCGTTACCGGATTCTATGTTAATGGAATTACAACAGGCTTGTCTTTTAAAGTATTATTGAAACATTAACAACTATTTGGATTCCTCGCTCCTCCCGTTTACACTTCCACCCTTCCACCCATTCCACACCATCCACACCGCCCACGTTAGATCGAAGCCGCTGATTCCGCCCCCACAAATGAGTAAACCACTACCGGCAACATCTAACTTAACACCGTGAAGTTCCTACTAGTGATGGGCACCATCGACTAAAAACTATCGATTTAGTCGATAGTAGTCAACGATACTTTTAGTCGGCTAAATCTCTGATACTATCGACTACATCGAACCAAATTTAGGCGGCTGCTTGAATTATCGATAAACTGCAATTTATAGCTCGACGGTCCAAGTTCAGAGTATAAATACCATGATCGCTGCTTTGCATTATATTTATTCAAGGATCGCGAAATAAAATTCTGAGATGCATTTCTATTAATTTATTAATCAGAATTATGCATTTCTACAATAAATTAGACTCGAAAATGCGTAATGCGTGATTGATGCTTAAGATCATGTTTGGTCAAGGATAGCGAAATAAAAATGCCGAATTTTATTTCCATTCATTTATTAATCAGAATTTTCCTACCAGAAGTGAATACATGTGAGTAGGGTTTAGGGTTCCTTCCAGTTTCCACGCTACAATCCCCACATTCTGCTGCTTAAAATTTGTCAAATTTAATTGTTTTTAACTTTGTAAAAAATAGTTATCATCGGTTGAAACAGCCAGGATTAAAAGCGAAGAAACTTCTTTTTTTGAATGACATTATATTTTGGTTTACGTCGATTCAGCTTCGAAAAGAAATATAACTCATCTGTAACAGATGAATGAATGAAATCGACGATACTGGAAGCCATGCTGGAAGTGAAGTTTAAAGACTTTAAAAAAAAGTCTTCTTTCTTTATCCTAGTTTGGCCGTGAGCGTTAAGTTTCGGCTTTGAAGCAGTATTGGAGATAATATCGTATAAATACAACAGTAGCTGTTCGGCGCACTGTTGCTATCCTTGAGGCGCGGCTCGTTCTTTCGCACACTACTCCAGTTTTTTTTCAAGCCACCGCAGTTTTTTAGCCTCCCAAGCTTTGTAGCCTCTGCAGTTTTTTCTAGCCTCCATTCAACGAGTCCGACGTCAGCCTGAGTTCCGAGAATTCACCCTTTCATTCTAAGAAAAAAAGTGGAATGGGAATTCTCAATGTGGCGCTTATACCCAGTGCAACTTTAGTAGTCACAGCATCTCGGGAACGGATTAAGATATCGAGATAAATTAAAATGATTTTACTTATCCCGATATTGCCCTATCTTCTGATTTGGTTTTCAAACCCAAATTCAGTTTTCTTTTGGCTGTTTTTTTTATATAATAGTTCTTTGAAAATAAATTGTAAGGGTCTTTAATTCGAATTTTTATATCATTTTGTCATTGTTAATTGGATGTTTTAGGTTCTAATCAATGACTAATATATTAAGTACTGTCAGGATGGTATATGTTTACTTTTTGGGAGGGATTTTTAAAATTAGAGTTATGAATCCAGTCCGGTATGTGGTGCTACTAGTGGAGAATGCAGAAACTGAAACGACTCTACACTTGGAGTTGGAGGGTGCTGGCATTACAGACCAACTCGTGTGTCCGACGTTCGACTGTCGTACCGACACGAGGAATGAAGCCTGATTTAGGAATAATTCCCGATTTAATTTAAATTTTACCAAAGTAATGAGAACAAGAATGATGTGCTTGTGCAAATCATTCAAACGAGCTAAGTTTCGCCTTGTTTCTCGTTCGTTTTACTCTTATTATTACAACAAAATTCAATCAGCTATTTTAAATTCGTCGTAACATTCATCAGCATTGGCACATCTGTTAAAATATTGATCGATCAAAAAAAATTCAAGATTCATTCAACATTAGAATGTAGTTCATTGTTCCGTAAATACTTTATATTTTAATAGGAGTGGCAGATAGAAATTGTATCAGATTCATGAGAAACTGAAAATTGTTTAAAGACAGTGAAAGGTGTGTTTGTATGCATATGAGAATTCTCACACTTTCATTTCGCTTCGCAAAAAGCGGCTGTTTAACAGCGCATAGATCTGAATTGTAAGGTCGCCTTGGAAATTCTCATAAGTCATTTCGTCCCGTGAAATCGGAGTTGTTTCGTTGATTTTCATTGAAAAAGTGATACGAATTTCTCTATTCCGATTCTCACAACGTTACTCTCGTAACAATTGCATCGCTGCTCTCAGAAATTAACAATGTCATTCACGCACCGAGGAGGGAACTCATTGAGGAAAGTCTCCATTTTTCGTAACGCGATTCACTATTGTAACATCAATTCAGCAACAAGTCTCCGTGATTGATAAAAGTTTCCTCGCGATTTTATTCACAGAAATTGTTGATCAGATCAAATTCTAAGTATAACTGATCGATTAGAAACGAGTCCTTCAGGTTTGTACAATGAACTTTTTGCTATTCCATTCACGGTCCGCGTGTTTTATTTGAATTTAAGTACGATCGCAAGAAGGAAAAGGCGTGCATTCGAAAGACGCCGCATTCGATTAATTAGCATAAAGGTGGCGAGGTGGGGATGAACGTGGATCGTCGGGTACGACCGGTAGACGGCGTACTGCGGAGCAGTTCATTTCTGTAATGGCCGATGTCTGGCGTTGTGGGTGAGTCGGTCTCCTTTTGCATTCTCGCGTTTACACAAGGAACTGCGTTGCATCCGATCGCTCACGGGAGTTCCATTCGCTGTTTTTGGACGACAAGAAGTGCGAACCATCCTCCGGTGCATCGTGAACACGTTGATACCTAGTAGTGACTCCACCGAGCACCATCGAGACAAAAATTCAAATCTCTGGTGTTTACTCTGTTTACTCGATAATCGCGTGCGGAGCGGCTCGTGGATCCGCAAAGCGACGTTCTCATCATCGAAACACGGGTGATCCACCGTCGTGATCGCGGCATGCGGTCCAGAAACGAGGCTCGGAGTCGCGTCGTTCCGGAGTCGCTCAGCTTCGTCCTCGGACAGTAAACAAAAGTGACAGCGTGCGGATGCCGTTCGGTCATGCCACCCGCCCCGACAGTAGTATTTGACGTGTTGTGTCCCTCGCCGAGCCCGAATTCCTTCACGTGGTTCAAGGTCTTCTAAAATCATCTTGACGCCACGCTGCCAACCTGGCCCCAGTGAGTTTCACGCCGCTTTCGCGATCGAATGTATCCCGAGTGTGTTGTTGTCGATGACAGCGATCTCGAGCGAACTTTTATCCGGTTATTGTGCTCCCCCCGAGGATTTCTACCAGGATTTTCGATAAGAACGACGTAAGCTGGGGTAGCCAAGAGAAAAGGAATAGCAGACACTACAATTGCGTTTGTACAAGTAAGTTGATTATTGTTCTCGTTGATTTCGAATCGGTTTCTTTACTGTAAAGTCATTTAGTACAAGAGTCAATAGTGTCCCGTAGCCGAAAAACGTGGTTTTTCCCACGTGCTGCTTAATAGACTTGGTAATAGTAGTTTACGATCGTTGACGATATTCAGGCCATCCGATAACGCTACGTGTTCAAAACTGGGACGAGATTGTTGGGATCTCAATGTTAGACAAAAAAACACTTCTCGCCCCGTAAAGAATGCGCTAGTCCGCAGCGCTGCGTTACCAATTAGATGCAGATAGGTCTTCCGGTAATTGCATCGTAGATCCGTTGCGTGTCAAAACAAGACGTAACTGGTGCAAGGGAGGATCTAATATTGCTTCGTCAGTCAATCTAGATTACGGATTTTCACGCGGGATTAAATATTTATAATGTCAGTCAAAAAGTACATTTCATATAGGAATGTCTTTCGTCATTTAAGTATTGCAATATCCACATTCAGTTTCTGTATGAGTGCAGCAAATCAATAGTCTACTAAAGTTTCACAGAATTGTAGGATAGCATCGACAATCTGCAATCCTGAGTTCAAAAATTTAGCACATTCAATATGAGTCACGAAATTGTTTCCGAGAGATAAAAAGGATCGTAAACAAAAACGATTAGAATAGAAAAACATTGTAGGAGGTTGTATACGGAAGCGTGAGATAGGTCAGTACGGTGCAACGTTATCGTACCGGAAGGGTTAATTCGATGATCCGCTCTTTACCCGCTTCCTACATTTATTACAATAAAGTTATTGCAATTGAAACAGTTCGAGCGTTCAACCGATAACTATATGATCGTTCAGTAGATTTCAAACTGCCTTCAGCACTTATTCCTATTGAACGAAGTAATTTAGGATAATTTTAATTAAAAGAATGGGAGGGCCATTGGCATTGATCGTTCCCGTGGGACGCAGAGTTCTTCCAGGATAGTACAAGCCTCCACCGATCTTTTCGAAGGGGAGAGAGATGTGCCAAGAGTCGTCGTTGCGGATGTTCCACGTGCTGGAGTTCATCGACGCCGATTTACCGCACTGCGTCCCCTGCTAGGACCATGTCCTTCCGGACGAACGCGTGATACCACTGCCAATACGAGGACAGATTATACCCGAAAGTACACGCGATCCTGAGATGCCGGATTACCGCCTGAAGGACGTAGCTCGTCGCCTCGCAAGTCTTCCCGATTGAGCACCGACGACCTCGTTCGTCACGTCCAGCGACAAGACTGATAATCCGTGTAATGCAGCGCGCGGAGGCGACGACCTTCCGTCCCGATTCAACCTGTACAATCTGCTCGCAATAATGTTCGGCAAGGTGCCACCGTCGAACACACCGGGGCCGCCAGCAACGAACTGTGTGAGGCCCACCGGAACCGCGTGTCTGCCGTGTTTCTCGGTCGACGAGGCGCCGGTCGTCACCGAGGAGAAGAAACAGTGGAGACCGAAGGACTGCGCCCCGGTCGTCTCCGAGGCGCCCGTGGGAGAGGAGAAGCTCCGAAGATCGAAGGAAACTTGCAACGCTGTCTTCGAGCCGCACTGCGTCAACGAGGACAAACCGAAGCCGAGGAGGAGCAAGGAAACGTCTTCCGAGTGTCCCACGATCGACGATAAGAAGCCTTGGAGGTCGAAGGACTCGAGCACCTCGGCGAGCGTGGACGTTACTTCGGGTACTTCGTTCAGGACTGAACCGAAGAACGCTTGCGGTAAATACTCGAAAGAGACGTGTAGAAATCTCGTGACGAAGAGTGCCGCGACCAATGTTAATCACAAGTGCGCGAATTCAAACAACTGCAATTTTGCGAAATCGTCGACCGGCGCGACGAAGTCGCAGAGGCTCGGTCCGATCAGTTTGAGCAACTCGAACGTCGAAGGGTCGAGGGAGAAGTCGACGAAGAAGCATCGCGAGTTTCTCGGCAAAGAGCAACATCTGCCGGGAGGAAAATCTCTTTCGAGGGAGGCGCAGAGAAACGTGGCTATGCTCAAACCTTCCAGCAGGTCTTCCGAGCATTCGAGCGGGAAAAGTCGACCAGACGACGTGCCGGTCGACGCGTCGATGGACCTCGTCGCAATCTCCGCGATCCAGTCGTCCGTCGAATCTTGCCAGAAGAAGACGTGCGACAAGGACACCGTGGACGCCGCTGCGTCAACCTGCGAACAGCAGAACTGCAGAGGGGACTTTGTCACTTCCACGCCAGCGAAAGACTGGATGAAATCCAATGGCAACGTGTTGCAACAAAGCTGCGTTGCGTGTCTGCCGAAGGATCTCCCGACGGAATTGCAGTTATCTTTGCCGCGGTACAAGGATCGAGAAAAGTGCCGCGATCCATGGCGACCCACCGAAATGGAAAGCAATATTTGCAACCTGAACGTGTGTCCTGCCGATAGTTATCAGGATACTGGCTCAAAAAGGAGAACGGGTGCTTCCTGCCAAGCTTTGAGGCACGCCGTTGCATCGCTCAACCGATTGGACGACTTTTACATGGAGAAAATCGGTGCTGGATTCTTTTCGGAGGTCTTTAAGGTAGGATTTTCATACTTCATATATTACATGCGATATTCTTAATACCGTTGGTCACATTTCATCGTCGAACTTTCTTTAATTCGAAGCTCCGATCAAAGAGCTTTCGTTCAAACTCCGAATCGCACTCGAGCGTTCTAAAAAAGAGTCGTTCCGCATATTTCTCATTTGCGGATGCGTTTCGTAACGAGGATGTTACCGCGAACGTTATATTTTATTCTTGGCTTGTTTCCCGTCGAGGAATTTGCAATTAGGATAGAAACAGTGACTCGCTTTAGCGACTAAGGAAAAGTTTTCTACTTTTCTTCCCGATGTTTCTTTTTCATATGCATTATGTATCGCGTACAACATGGTTTGCTTCGCAATAACGCTTATCTTGGCAGATTAACATCTACGAAGATTAGATACCAGCACGCTCCGCGTAAAATTAATACTACTCGTAATCGCGTAACGTGTAATTCCGTTCGTAGAATTCCCATTTCCCTCGAAATTTTGTTTGTAAACAATTTTTCGATTGCCAGCTCCGCTTTTCAATAGAAAGGTGAATCAATAAATCCTATCGCGTACGGAAGAACGAAACACCATCGAGATAACGGTAACTGCTCGGTGAAAATAGTAATTAAGTGTATAGAAAGCCCCAATAATCAACGCCGATGGCGATTTAACTAAGTGGCCACGTTTTCCGCATGCGAAACTTATTCGTCGATCGGTCAGTCGGACGATCTTCAATTCGAGTCGAAATCAGAATGGGAGCTTCGCAAGTAAACCTGCATTTGCGTCATTTGAAAACAATTTACGAGATCAAGTCGAATCAAGCAGTTTTCTGTAGGTCGCGGATTCCATTTGCGTCTTGAGTCTGCGAATCAGACGTTATGACATAATGAGACGAGGAGTTTTACTTATTCAGATTTATATAAACCTCTTCTCCTTAAAGTGATTTGCGCGAATATTTGCATTAGTCAAATGTGGCATATATTTTCAGATTTTATTATATTTAAAAAAAATATATATTTCAATTTTAGATTTGAATTGAAACATAAAGGTTTATGCGTTTATTGTATGAAATTTCCTCTCGGATTTTGTGAGAACTAGGATCTGGAGTCCATAGAACAGATGTTGGACATTGGCAGTGGAACTTTTTACGCGCAAAGAAACGTTACATCGTTTAAGTAGCCTAACGGAATGACGCGCAATCTTTTTACGCTCCGTTCGGTGTTCCGATCTCAAGATTGCTCTTCTTTATGTTAAACAACGTTACGCAACGATCAGCATGGTAGCTTCGTGGAAAAATCGTCGCGCTAAATTCGAAGGTAAACGTACCGGCCAAAAGTAGGTTTCCATGTCTTCGATGCGAGAGTCTCTTGAAAAACTATTCGAAACTCGAGCATTCAGTCAAGTTTCAATTATCATTTAAACGTTTGAAATGTGCATTTAGTGTCGCGAACAGATTTACTCGTTGCACGTATTCGATGTCTTCGTAAATACGTAAAACGTGCGATTTACTCGTAATGCTTGAAACTCATTTTGCCGATGGCTACCTGAACGGATGGTAGAGTCACAATTTCTCTGTGCACCGCAACCACTTCCTCTGTTACGCGTTCCTTCGCCTCTACCTAGCATTGTTAACCGGCGCTCTTCTTATCCGTGCATCTGGCACTTCGCCTTCTCTCTCTTATTTTCCGCCAAGAAATACTCTTCGATAGACAGGGTAAGTGCGAAAGTTGGTTCGTTTCCGGCGGAACGTGTAATTTGTCGCAGTTCATCGATTGCGATCACGTCGCTAGCTGTCAAAGTTGAGAATCTTGACAACCGATACGATATATGCATTATAAATAGGTCAACAGGAAATTGAGTGCCGCGAATCCACCTAGCGAGTGTATCGCAAGCTCTGTTTAAAAATAAACCCACTCGCCTTCTGGAGGACTCATGCCGTAGGTCAAACTCTTCCGATGCTTAACCGTTATCGAAACCGCTTCTCATTTATCTAGGTTGCGTAACGAAATGCAAATGATCTCGTTAGGAATAAAAATACCAAATTATCACGGTATAAAGCTTAATCACAGCCTTAAGCCTTTCGTGACCAGAATTCGAATAAAATCATGGAACACTCGAGCTGTTGAAAATTTCTCGGGTCACTTTTTCTTGAATCGGTGTCGACGTTCGAGGTCGCGTCCTTGGTTAGTCGTTATGCGAAGATCGGCCAATTTGCGCGAAAGTCCCAGCTGGGAGAAAGTCACGAAAGCCGATCGAAGAAATTGGAAAAATCGTGCTCGAAGATGGACCAACCTTGGAGTGACGGATTCTTGGCAAACGCCAGATCGCATTAGCCAGTGTTTTGGCAAAGTAGTATGTTCACTCTGTCTAGATGACTTAATCGTTTCGTATTCTATTCACTAATACTATCCCCAGCAAAATACAGAGTATACATATATTACATGAAGCACACAAAGTTGCAATCTTTGAAATGCTATGGCACGTGCAGTAAAATTTATAAAGCAATAAATTATACTATATTTATTTTTTGATGGTTCTTACCTAATGTCTAATATTACTGGATTGCACAAAAATTGTACAAACTAAAGCAAATCTTCGCTTTGAAAACTGTTTGGAATTTTAAACGTGTACGAGGAATGCACTTGGGATTTACATTTTGAGGCCAGGAATTTTATCGATCGCCGTAATCATCGTTGACAGTGAACGTTGGTAAGAACTGGTTTCGGTGGAGCCGAGGATCTTCATTCGGACACCTGGCTAACCAGCTTCGTATAACCGCGCGAATCCTATGCGCAACAAAAGATCATTCGAGCAGCTGAGTTTGCTCCCGGAGTTGCGAAAGTATAATATTTGGAGTAATGTCAAACTAAAGTAATCATCGTTTCGTAATTCATATTTTATTTTACTGTCCCAGATAGCTTCAATGTCCCAGTTAACAGCTTTCGATGTCATACGTACGTAATCAGTGAATTTCTAGAAAAAGATTATATTTGTCTACGTTTATCATTTCCGTTGTCTTTTATCAACGAAGAAATTGCCTCTGAAAAAAACCGATAACAAAACACGGCGTGGACTAATGAGTTGGAATTATACCCGCGAGACAGGTTGGAGTGCGTTTTCTTTCGAATATGGAGAGGCTGTAGGATGTAAAAGGGGAATAGTAACGCGAGGCTCTTGTCTTTCGCGGATGACCGGCTCGTTAATCATAATTATGTCTTCGCATCTTGACAACGATGGGGCTCCATCAAAACACATTTTCTACCTCCACTCGAGAACTCTATCTGTACTCGTTCCCGAGTATACGCGTTCGTCGCACTTCTTCCCGTCAAACAAATGACGACCGAGATATAATTAAAAGAAAGGCAAACACGCAAGATTTCTCTTCGGTTTTGAATATGACTTTCAGAAATTGAACGAAGCCAAGGAAAAAGGAAACCAGGCGTGGAAACGCGCGAGAGAAGCAAAAAAGAAACGGTTCTATTTTTGCCGGCTTCGATCCTTGTCCCACCTCTCGCGATGAATCTGAAATTTTGAACCTCGGAAATCGCTGACTGTGCGCACACCGAGATAACCTCGTTCAATCGTGACAATACTTGAGAATATCATCATTTTTGTATAATGATCTTTGAACCCAGTGTCCAGAGATAAACGACTTCAGGTTGTTAAAACGTGTCGCAAGATCGTACGGAAGCGAACGACGATTGCAAAACCCGTACTGTACGTTCGAGATACGGCTCGCTATCGTTTGCGTTAATGATTTAGCAAAATTTCGCTAGCTGTAATTAAAAGCAGTTACGTGAACCGAATTTCAGTTGTCCGTGTCATTACCGGTGGTTAATATATGTAGAGTTAAACTCGATTCTTGTCGAGAATATGCGCGAGAAGACTTTGGGTCTTTTCATTATTCACAGCGCGACGCCTCATGAAAACCTTGGAACGAAGTCGTCTTTATCTGCTTCCATTATCTCGACAATTGTAAACCGAGCGCTTTATGCGGTGCAATTCATCGTGCTTTTTATCGAGTTTTGTTCGAACATAATCGCATTGCGCGACCCTCGTCTATGAGATTGTCCTTGCGAGATTAGAAAGAATCTTCCATTCGTTTCGATATGAAAATCATAAGACGTATCTATCGATATCTGACTATTTGTAACATGTACTACTGATTGCGACATAGACTCTTTATAAAACGAAATTGGCCGCGACGCTCTTCTTGCAAAACCAATTTAAATTTTACGTAACTCGTTAATTACGCGGCTACCTTCGCTGGAATTTTCTTGAAACCTTCCTTATTCCCGCGAGGAGTTATCGCGCGCGTCGATCGCATGAATTCTCGCCAATTCTTTTTTTCCTTCCACCGTGAAACAACCGAGTCGGTCGTTGAATCGTGGACGAGCATGTATCGATAACGAGAAACTAGGACGTAGAAATTCAATTATTTTCGTACCTGCACATATTTCGCTATTGATACGAATTATGGCGTCCTCGGCTGCGGGTCGGTTTTTAATGTAACACGGTCATTATCGTAATTCCTACGTTTAGCCTAGCTTTCAATGGACAGAGTTCCCGGTGAAAATGCGGTAAATTAGTAGTAACGACATGCGCGATGACAGACCGCGTGACGAGCCAGTACCAGGTATCGAAATAAGGCCATTTCACGTTCGACGTACAATAGATTTTTAGTTTTCTTTTCATGTGGTCACCTCCGCTCTTTTCTCTTTCGTTTGAGAAAGGGAAACCGTTGCGCTTCCAATTATGTTTTATTAAAAAATGGGTACCCAAATTGTCGTATTAAGGAATGTAGAATAATCGATTACGAATCGTGCGAGAATTGTTTGCTGGTCACATATGAGCTTGACTGAAATATGGGCGCGTGAAACGCGAGGACTTGCTGATTCCTTGGAGAAAGTTGGCGCAGCTGCAGTTTATGCACGCGTTTTGACATCCACCGATGAGTCGCAAATCGTAAACGACTCTTACGGCCGGTGGTGAGCGTAAAGTAGCACCTT